CTACAATTTGAAAGGCTGGTGAATGAAAGAGTTGTCCGTTTTAGCATTATTTCTGGTTGTGAGGGGCCCTTGAGTCAATTATGACTCATAGTAACACTATAAACAGCAGATCTGAAACTTGCCTTATCTTGTATCACCTTCATGATCTCTGATATGCTGGAGCCCATTGTTACAGTCACTAGCTCCATCCATCTTATCTTCCCTTCCTTCTCTGACTCTCCATCTTTCCCAGCATGATGTCTTCTTCCAAGGATTTGTCCCTACTAACAACATGCCCACAATATGTGAAATGCCTCTAAGAAACACCTTGCACTTCCTCCAAGACTCATTTGTGTATTCCTTAGTCAGTACACTCAATACTCTTCTCCAGCACTATTATTGAAAGGCATTGATTCTTCTTAAGCTTTATTTATTATCCAACTTTCTTTTTCTCTTCTCTTTTCTCTTCTCTTCTCTCTCCTTTCTCCTCCTCCTCCTTCCTCCTCCTCCTCCTCTCCTTTCTCTCTCTCTCCTTCTCTTCCTTCCTTTTCTCCTTCCTTCTTTTTTCTTCTCCTCATTTTCTTTCCTTTCTTCTTTACCACTGAGTTGGATCCAACTGTCACAGGAGGAGATTCTCCCTCCTTCTCCAGTGGAACATCTGATGGATTCTAACCACACACAGTCGTGATTGCAGCATAACTTCTTGCCACTAGGCCACCAGAGCTCCCATTATTGTCCAACTTTTAGATGCATAGCAAGTAACTGAAAATATCGTGATTTGGATTGGGTGGACTTTAGTCATTAAATTGATATCCTGTTCTGATGTTTTACAAAGTTTACAAAGAGATTTGTACTCATTAATTCATTCTGACACATTTTCCTCCCTACTTCTCCCCCAATTAACTTTGTAATGCATGTCCTATTTCAGACTGTTAGTTGCAATACACATAATGTCTAATAGTCAATTACTTTGTTGACAGTCCTTTCATATATTCCACTACAGTGTTCATTCTCTATCTATTCTTTTCCTATTCTGCTCCCCTTCCTCTCCCCACCCCCATAACCATCTTAATTTTATAACAGTGGTCTTTGGCAGTATTTGTCCTTTTATGACTGAGTTCATAAAGTGTGATTGTCTATTGATTTCAGACTGACCTTCCCTTTACCTATTCCAAGTAATCATCTATCCAATCTTTTCCTACTCTCCCCATCATCCCTTTCTCCCTCTACTCTACAACTGGAGTATTTTTATAACAGTGGTTTTATACAGCATCTGTCCTTCAATGATTTATATATTTCCCTTAGCATAACGTCTTCTAGACTACTCCATGCTGTGTAGTGTTTCACGAATTCATTGTTTTCCATGTTATGTAATAAATACTCCATTGAATTTACTAAAATTTCTCTACCCATTTGTTTATTGATGGGTACTTGAACTGCTTCCATCTCTTTGCTATCGGGAGTAATGCTGCAATGAACATAGGTGTACATACATCTGTATGTGTCTTTTTTTAAAAAAAAATGAAAGAGTAAATATTTTTATTTTAGAAGTTATTCGATTTTACAAGTTCCAAAGATGCCACAGTTGAATTTGAGTAAGTCAATATTTAACTGTCTTATTTTGTCTTTAAATGCTGGCTCTGAAAATGTTTAGTTCATAGTGTTACTATGTTTTAATAACATGATAAGTTGATGAAATGCTGAGTATACTTTATAACCATTAAACATTTAATATTTGGCAAATATGTACTGAGAACCTAGTATGTGTGAGAAATTGTAAATAATAGATGAATGAAACACAGATGCTCTTTCTAAACTTAAACCCATATCAAAGTAACAAAGATTGAAGAAGAAAGTACATAAATAAGTATATACCTTAAAATAAAACAATTAGTGTGGAGAAAAAGAACAAGGCAAAGGGAATAAATAAAAGAAATATTTGCCTACATAACAGATTTATCACTTTAAGAATATAATTAATCTCTGAATGAAATATTATTTTAAGGTTGTTTTGGTTATTTTCATTTTTTAATTTTAATGAAAGTTTACAGAGACTTTGGATTTCCATTCATTCACTGCGGTACATTTTCCTCCCTGCCCATCCCTCCCCCAGTTCACCTTTCTCTTTGAAAAGGAAAAAAATAAATAAAAATTCATTTTTATACAATGCACCCCCATCCCCCAGTCCACTCCACTATGCAGTTTTCATTCTGGACTCTTGTCATGACAATACGTAATCATATATCCCTTTTAAACAGTCCTCTCCCTCATCGGTTTCAATGCAGTATACATTATTTATCTCCTCTTAGTTTCCCTCCAACTCCCATGTCAATCCCACTTTACAACAGTGGTACTATGCAGTATTTGTCCTTTTGTGACTGAGATATTTCACTCTGCTAATATCCCCCAGGATCACCCATTTTGTATAATATTTCATGAGGTCTTTTTAGTGCAGCATAGTATTCCATTGTGTGACTATATCACAGCTTCTCTATCCATTCATTTGCTGATGGGCATTTGGGTTGTTTCTAACTCTTTGTTATTGTGAACAAAGCAGCAATAAACATGGGTGTGTCCATATATCTGCTTGAGTGGCAGTTCTAGTTTTTTTAGGGTATATTCCCAGTAGTGGAATTACTGGGTCAAATGGTATTTCTATTTCCAACTTTTTGAGAAAGTGCCATACTGCCTTCCATAATGGCCACACCATTTTACACTCCCACAAACATCTGTATGTGTCACAATTATGGTTTCTTCAGGGTATATTCCTGGTAGTGGGATAGCTGGATCATATGGTATATCTATTCTCAACATTTTGAGGAAGTATCAGATTTTTGTCCATAGGGGTCATACTATTTTACATTCCTAATTGCAATGTATGATAGTACCAGTTTCTCCACATCCTTGTCAACATTTGTTGTTGGCTATCCTGTTGACTCTGTATCATGAAAATAACAATTCTTTAGCTCTTTAAAAAGGTTTTTGACATCAAATTTCCCCAATGCAACATGTCTTTTGAGTCCTTGACTGTTTCTACCCTAGATCTTGGCTGTGGATCTAAGTAAAATGAAATACTTAATGACATCTATCTTTTCTCCATTTATCATTATGTTACCTACTGATCCAATGGTGAGCATTTTTGTTGATGCTCAGATGTAACCCATAGTGAAGACTGTGGTTTTTTTACCTTCTTCAGCTTGTGTTTCAAGGCATTTTGCCTTTCTACCAGCTAGATTGTGTTATCTGCGTTATGCAGGTTTGTGTTATCTGCGTTATGCAGGTTATTGTTTAGTTTTCCTCCAAACTTGTTGCCACATTCTTCTTCATACAGTTCACCTTCTCAAATTATTTACCGAGCATATAGACTGAACAGGTATGGAGAAAGGATACAACCCTGAAACACATCTTTCTTGATCTTAAACCAAGTAGGGTTCCCTTCTTCTAGGTCGTATAGCCCTGGCGTGTCCACTTGCCATACAGAGGTAACTTGTGGTTGCTGTGAAGCTGAACACTGTGACACTGATGTGTCAAATGTGATAACAGTTACCCATGGTGGACAGTGTTTGGTGGAGCTCTCCAATTAAAACAAGCTTGGAAGCAGGAGTGGCATCCACTTCCACAATAGCTTGCCTCCAGAAACCCTATGAACCTGGAGAAAGGATGAAAGTCATGCACACAAGTGTCAAGGACTTTCATTCACAGGGTCGCTATGAGTTGCCTATGACTTGACAGCACTTAACAACAACAGTGTTCCCTTACTCTATTCAGACAATATCTCAATCTAGGTATAGGTTTGACATGAACACAATTCAGTACTCTGGGATTCCCATTATAATAATACCTCTCATTTGTTATGATCCACACAGTTGAGTACCTTTGCATAATCAAGGAAATATAAATAAGCATTCAAAACCCAAACCCATTGCCTTGGAGTCAATTCCCACCCATTGAAGCCTCTTAGGACAGAGTAGATCTGCCCTATAAGGTTTCCAAGTCTATCTATGTTTATCAAAGCAGAATGCCTAAACTTTCTTCAAGGGAGTGGTTGATACTGCTATTACCATCTGAGCACTGTAACTACTGTGCCATCAGAGCTTCTTCAGAAGGTGATATGCTTGCCAAGTAAACTTGGACTATCAAAGATGTTTTGAGTTAGGAGAGAGGGCATCAGATTGAAGCAGAACATCAGACAAAGCTCCTTTGGTCTCCAGATTTCAGACCTTTTGTCCTGAGCATGTTGCTGTTGTTTGTGTGTCAGTCACTGAATTACCTGTGACTTATAGCGACCCTATGTACAACAGCTCTGAAGCCTGCCCTGTCCTGAGCCAGTCTCACTGATTCCAACACACCTACCCCCATTGCTGCAGTCACTGTGTCAATCCATCTCACCCAAGGTATCCCTCTCCTGCGTTGTCCCTCCACCTTTCCAAGCATGATGTCTTCCCCAAGGACCAGTCTCTCCTCGCCACATGCCCAAAGTATGTGAGATAAAGCTTAAAAATCCTAGCCTCTGAGGAGAAACTTGGTTTCACCTTCTCCAAGACAGGCCTGTATGTTTTCTTGGTAGTCCATGGTACATTCAAGACTCTTCTCCAGCACCATAACTCAAAGGCATAAATTATTCTTCTGTCATCCTTAATCATGGTGTTTTACATCTAGCTTAACACTGATTTTGAACTGTGCTGTTATATACTAACAATAGTACTTGTTATTATAACTCTCACTCAACCTTTTCAACATGTTATTTCAAAGGTTTCTTCAGTGCAAATCTGTTATATCTTGGAGCCAAAGATTGCTTTGTTATAGTACCTTCCTCATCAGATGGGGAAATAAGTTGATAGGAAAGAGGTGATTCCATACATAAGTGTGTTTTCTATGTCATTTCCATCCAGCTCCACAGGCTTGCTACCTAATATGTATGTAATAGAGAATGTGATGTTGAGAGATCTCTAGTTCAAGTGCAGGCATGCCTGCACACACACAGAGAGAGAGAGAGAGAGAGAGAGAGAGAGAGAGAAACAGCTGTGAGTCCGGAGATGCAGGACTCTGTGCCCGTTTCTATTCCAAATGCCTGCATGTCTGAGGCTGAGTTTGAAGCCTCCAGCATGTGTGGAGTTAATTCCCTTTAGGTCGGACTCCGCCTCTCTCTCCCAAAGGTAAAACAAGGTTTTCAGGCATCACTGCAAAGAGCAGCTGGGATTCCCATCCCCATCTGACAAGCTGTGGGAAGTTGTTTCTCAGATCTGAGCCCCGAAGAGAGGAACAAGTCATTCAGCCTTCAGTGGTCAGAAGGTAAAGTCGCAACTTGGGCCAAATGCAACTGAAACAGCTGGAGGAGAAACTGCTTTGCTCTTCCCCTTCCCCCTTTCCTTTCTCAGGCTTCCTGCCCTTTCATCTCAAAGCTAGGAGAAGCTGCTTTCTTCCCAAGGGCAGTCTGGTGCATTTTTCCTCCCTCATAGTCTATTTTTTGCACAGAGGCTGAGAGGTATTAGGGCTGGCTTCACATTTCATAGCGCCATGACTGTAGAAACTAAGGGTTAAGTGCCAATTGGTTTCCCCAGTGGAGCTAGTAACTTGAGGCAAAGAAATGGTCTGTCTCTGAGAATGGGGGGAGGGACTTTGGTCTGCCCTGTCTAAGAGAAGTAAAAATGGATTCAGATTTGTTGATGTTGTAGGGTGACTGATCTCTTCGATTTGCCTAAATTGGGGTTATGGGACTGAACTGGGGTGGTGGGACTGAACTGTGATGCAGTTATTGGGGCCAGTTGAGCTGGAAATAAAAAAAAGATCGTATTCATTCAATAAGTACTTTTTAGTTCCTACTGTGTGCCCAACTACAATTTCCTATAGTTCCTGAAGTAGTAAAATTATAATGTCCTTTCTTGAATAGAGTGCTGGATGAAATGGCTCCATTTTGGGAGGGAAACTTAAACGAAACCTAGGGGTAAGATAAAGTTACGAATATAGGTGTTGACTGGGGAAGAATAGAGGAGCGAAGTTCTACTCCTTAGTGACAGTATCTCTATTACTTCTGGAAAAAATGAGGTCTTCTCTAGTAGAAGGAGGTGAATTGATAATTAGCCTGGTGCTAGGTATATCACTGATGTTATTTCACTTATTCTCAACTCTCTTTTAAAATTTATAACTCTATTTAATACACGGAACAGAAACTTGGAGGTTTTAAGTGATCTTCTTGAACTCACATAGCATGTAAGGGTCAGATATTGGTATCTCACCTCAGATCCACCTCGACACTCTGGACTCTTTCCTACTAAAACCGTATTTCTCAAACACAAGTCCTCATCAGAATCAGTAGTGGAAAAATCTAATGGGTAAATCCCTAATTATTCTAATTCCATGAACTTGGGAGTAGTGTCACATTCTGGCTTTTAAACAAGCACTGACGGAGATTCTGAAGCAAGAGGTTAAGGGCTCTCACTTTGAGACACACTGTTCATATACCACGCTACCTCTCAATTCTTCTAAAGTGACTAGCAACTATTCAGTCTACCATCTCTGAATTCCACTGACTGAATTCTCCAAATGCAGGCGGTCAGCTGTGGTTGCATTTTATTCCTACCAGAGCTCAGGGGTAGAGGGACTATCAGGCAACTATAGCAGAACTAGGCCATGATCCTTAGGGTGTAAGATGATGCTGTCAATGATGCTGTCACAGTTAGTCCTTCACTGATAGGACCCAACAGTGTCCTGTTAGGCAGGCTGCTATGGGTAGTTTCTAACTGGCTGAGACTGTGTAAAAGGACTCCAACCAACCAGGTAATCACTGACTGTGGCTGCTACTTGTACAATCAGAGCAGGAACCAACATGAAGATATCTACTTGGAATCTACCTTCGAAGCAGGAGATAAGTGAGAATTTCCACCAGAACCATTCCCGCCCCCCTTGCAGGTGGAACAGAAGTGCATATAAAATTTGGAGAAGTCATTTCAGTTCCTATCTTTCTGACTACAAACTCTGGAGAAAGGAAATCATTCAGGGCCTAATGTGAATGTTCTTGTTATGCGTTATCTGTCATAACCAACTGTATTACATATAGATGGACTTCTAGGTTGTAGATCGCATGGCACACTGGTTATTTGTTTTGCTGCTAACCAAGAGGTTGGTGGTTTGAACCCACTCAGCAGTTCTGTAAAATAAAAACCTGATGTTCTGTTTCCATAAAGATTAAAACCAAGAAAACCCTATAGGGTAGTTCTACACAGTTATACTCTGTTAAACGAGGTCACTATGAGTCTCTTCTTATTCTCTGGATTCCTGTCTTTTAATGCCTTTCTTGGGGAGCTTTGGTGGTCTAGTGGTAAGAACCTGCTCTGCAATCCTGAATGAATGTGGTTTGATCCACCAGCAGTTCCATGGGAGAAGGATGGGCAATCTCTTCTCATGTGATTAACTGCCTCTGAAAACCCACTGGAGGGTCAGCTACAGATTGGTTCCAACTCAATGGTACCCAACAACAACAACAAATGACTTTCTTGCTGTGACTATCTCTACCTCAAGACTGTTGCTGCTGTTCAGTGTTGTCAAGTTGCCTCCAATATACATCAACCAAATAGAACCATCCCCACAATCTCTGCTGTGCTTAAACCCATTGTTACTGTCACTGTTTTAATCCATATCCTTGAAGGTTTCCCTCTTTTTGTTAACCCTCTACTTGGCCTATCATAACATCCTTCAGGGACTGACTCCCTCTTGATAACCTGCCCAAAGTATTTGAGAAAAAGTTTCACCATAATGGCTTCTAAGGAGCACTCTTGCTGTATTTCTTTCAAGACAGATTTGTTTATTCTTTGGACAGTCCATGGTATATTCAATATTCTTATCTAATACTAAAATTCAAAAGCATCAATTCTTCTTTGCTCTTCCTTCCTTATTTGTCCACCTCAGAGTGGAGAGATGTCAATAAGCAAGTAAACATACCTAAATTTGACAAGTTTTGGCTAGTCCTTCTACCTCTAAGGAGAAAAGAAGAGAGAGAATGTGTAGAAAGAGACACTAAAGATTTTGAAAAGACTCAGGTAAAAAAACTGAGGTAGGTATGTAAGTGGACAAATCACCTACATACAATTGCCATATGAAAGTCCTATGACTGACCACACCATGAGAAGGTTTCAGGGACTGAAGGCTCCAATTCCAGTTGGAGGTGTGATTTGAGGTGTAATTCTAGGTGTGGAGATATACAGAGTAAGAAAGATTTTTCACTCAGCAGGTACCTTTCAAAGAAAGAGACAAATGGAAACTTCCACTTGAAGCATTTTTTTTCTGGCAGGAAATAAATAAGTGTATGTGAAATTTGGGGAAATAATTTCAGTTCCCACCATTCTTGCTATAAACTCTGGAAAAAGGGAACAACCCAGGACATAATGTGAATGTTCTTATTATGCATTATCTTTATTTTAGCATAACTAAGTCTATTGACAGAGGTGGTACAAAATGAGTGAAATGTTAGCAAGTAGTAACTGTTGTTTTTGAGTAACATTGAGTCTGAATCAACCCATAGCTGACCCTCCAGTGGGTTTTCAGAGGCAGTTTAATCGCATGGGAGGAAATTGCCCATCTTTCTCCCGTGCACCAGCTGGTGGATTTGAACCACATTCCTTCAGGACTGCAGCTAAGCTCCTTACCACTAGGCCACTAGAGCTCCCTACAAGTAGTAAATAGGTGTGTGTGGGGTGTCAGGGGTTTGAGGCTACATTTAGAGCAGAAAGGGATCACTGGCTGCCTAGTGGTTAGAAGCTGTGGGTCAGCTATGGGTCAGTTTCAACTCAATGGCAAACAACAGCAGCAACTAGAGCAGAAAAATTTAGAATGATCAGTTCACTTATATATTCAATTTGGTAAAAGGAGTCACACTAGTGAAGGATATTTCTCTGGACCAAAACTATATGTTGATGGTGTCATTGTGCCATGGAGTTTATTCTGATTCATAGTAACCCCATATGACAGAGTAGAACTTCCTAATAGGGTTTTCTTCACTGTAATCTTTATGGAAGCAGATCACCAGGTCTTTCTTTTGTGTAACCTCTGCATATGTTTGAACCACCAACCTTATAGTTAGCAGTGAACACTTAACCACTGTTGCCATCAAGGCATTAAGTCCATCTTGCTCTTTTCCTAGGGAAGTCTCAACACTGAGCAAGATGTATTTATAACATCGTTGTCAGGCAGGTAATGCACAATGTCTGAAGATGTGAAAACAAAGACCTGTCTCCATTCCTTTCCCGTGCCAGTGCCAAGAAAGCTGTTCCTTCACCCCTCTGATGTGCCACTCTGTTCAGGGACCAGTCCTAAACTAGCAGTCCTACTGCTAAGTTTGCCTCAGCAGCCGCAAGTCAGAGACTTGCTTGCTTCATTGCCTACAGCACCCTGTAATCATTGCTAAGTTGTGGTTTTCTTCCAATTTGTAAGATTAACTCAGAGGGAGCAATGATTTGAGTCATTTCTTATTGGGACTGAGTAGGAGGTAAGGCTTAGGAAGGAGTCTGTTTTTTTTCCTGAGGGCAGTAAGTGCCCACATATAAGTCGGTACACATGAGAACGAAAAGGTAAAATCAAACGCATGAAGACTTAGCAACCAAATAGCACAGGGAGAGAAAAGGTGCTTATTTTTAGAGGAGAAGGCTAAAAGCAACCTACTAGCAACGTGAATTGATGTAGGGCTCTCAGTTTAAAAATTAGTACCCGGTTGTTCTCCATTCATACTGAGGACCCAGCCGGGGGAAAAAAAAAAAAAGATGGCCTTAGGTTGCAGCAGGAAAATTATGAAAGTGATATAAAAAGGACTTATTGAACGTAAAAGTTGTAAAGCTCCTGGAGGGAGGAGGGGAGTGTAGACCTCCTCTGAGTTCTTTAAATGTGGATAGATAACCATTTGACATATATGGCTTAGTAAGGTTTCCTGCTTTGTATAATGAGGTGACCTTTACCCATCAGGCCATGTCAGAATGACGACCGTGTTTCTCAAGATTATGAGTACCGGTCTTTAGTAAGGACAGTAAACTCAGAATAGAGTACATGCTTCTATCCAGGTTATTACAACTCTCTGGCCACACTCCCTACATTTCCAACTGTTCTCTAAAGCAGGCATGTGATCCATTTATCCAACGGCAAAACTAAAGGGTGAAGGACAAGGTAACATCTCAAAGCAGAGGGTTAACTGTAGTCCTATCAATGCCTAGTGATAGCCTCACTCAGTAGGACTTTCAGGGTGTGTTCTTGGTTTCTGAAATCTTATGTGGCTGTATGACTAAACACTGTAGAAAAAGGAAACCAAG